GAAAATAACACCTTAAAAAATAGCCTAACCCAAATGGCAAAAGAGGTCCAAAAAGCCAATGAGGAGAAGAATGCTCTGAAAAACAAAATTGGCCAAATGGAAAAGGAAGTCCAAAAGCTTACTGAAGTAAATACTTCCTTAAAAATTAGAACAGAGCAATTGGAAGCTACTGACTTTATGAGAAATCAAGACACTGTAAAACAAATCCAAAAGAACAAAAAATTATAAAACAATGTGAAATATCTCATTGGAAAAACAACTGACCTGGAAAATAGAGCCAGGAGAGAGAATTTAAAAATTACTGGCCTATCTGAAAGCCCTGATCAAAAAAAGAACCTAGACATCATCTTTCAAGAAACTATCAAGGAAAACTGTCCTGATATTTTAGAACCAGAGGGCAAAATAGGAAAAAATCCACCAATCTCCTCCTGAAAGAGATCCCCAAAGGAAAACTCCTAGGAATATTGTAGCCAAATTCCAGAGTTCCCAGGTCAAGGAGAAAATATTACAAGCAGCCAGAAAGAAACAATTCAAGTATTGTGGAAACACAATCAGGATAACACAAGATTTAGCTGCTTCTACATTAAGGGACAGCAGGGCATGGAATATAATACTCCGGAGGGCAAAGGAGACAGGATTACAACCAAGAATCACCTACCCAGCAAAACTGAGTATAAATTCTTCAGAGGAAAAAATGGTCATTCAGTGAAATAGAGGACTTTCAAGCATTCCTGATGAAAAGACCAGAGTTGAATATAAAATTTGATTTTCAAATACAAGACTCGAGTGGAACATGAAGAGGTAAACAGGAAAGAGAAAATCATAAGAGACTTACTAAGGTTTAACTGTTTACATTCCTGCATGGAAAGATGATATTTGTAACTCAAGAGACCTTTGTCAGTATTAGGGTAGTTGGAAGGGAAAAAATTATATGTGCGTATATATTGATATAGACAGACAGATAGAGGACACAGTGTGAGTTGAAAATGAAGGGGTCATATCTGGAGAATAAGATTAAGGGGTGAGAGAGGAATATACTAGGAGAAGGAGAAAGGGAGAGGTAGAACGGGGTAAATTTATCCCACAAAAAAAAAAAAAACAGAAAAGAAAAGGCTCTTAGAGTGGAGGGGAAACGGGGGAAGGTGAGAGGGAATGAGTGAATCTTATTCTCATAGGCTTTGACTTAAGGAGGGAATAACATACACACTCAATTGGGTGTGGAAATCTGTCTTACCCTACAGGGAAATAGGGGGGAAGGGGACAAGAGAGTAGGGGTATGATAGAGAGGAGGGCAGATTGGGAAAGGGAGTAATCAGAACCAAATACTTCTGAGGAGGGACAGGGTCAAAAGAAAGAATAAAATAAATGGGTGGGCAGGATAGAATTAAAGGAAATAGAGTTAGTTTTTCACAGCATGTCTACTATGGAAGTGTTTTGCCTAACTTCACATATATAACCTATATTTAGTTGCCTGCCTTATCAATGAGGGTGGGTGGAGAGGGAGGAAAGGAGAAAATCTGGAACCCAAAGTTTTAAAAAAACACGTTTAAAAAAAAAAAAGTTTTCACATGCAACTGGGAAATAAGAAATACAGGAAATGGGGTATAGAAATCCATCCTGCCCTACAGGAAAATTGAAGGGGAAGGGGATAAGAGAAGAGGGGGAGAGATAAAAGGGAAGGCAGACTAGGGGAAGGGGTATTTAGAATGCATGCCATCTTGGGGTGGGGGGAGGGGCGAGATGGGGTGAAAATCTGGAACTCAAAATCTTGTGGAAGTAAATGTTGAAAACAAAAAATAAATAAATAAATAAAAATTACCATTAAAAAAAAAGAATACTAATCATTCTCCAATTGATAAATGGCCAAAGGACATGAACAGGCTTTTTCAGATAAAGAAATTAAAACTATCTATAGTCATATGAAAAAATACTCTATGTCACTATTGATTAGAGAAATGCAAACTAAAACAACTCTGAGGTACCACCTTGCACCTATCAGATTGACTAACATGACAAAAAAGGAAAAGGATAAATGTTGGAGAAGACGTGGGAAAATTGGAACATTAATGCATTGTTGGTGGAGTTGTGAACTAATCCAAACATTCTGGAGAACAATTTGGAACTATGCCCAAAAGACCATAAAATTGTGCATTCCCTTTGATCCAGCAATAGCACCACTAGGTCTATATCCCAAAGAGATCATAAAAAGGGAAAAGGACCCCACATGTAAAAAAATATTTATAGCACCTCTTTTTGTGGTGGCAAAGAACTGGAAATTGAGGGGTGGCCCATCAAGTGGGGAATAGCAGAACAAGTTGTGTTGTATGAATGTAATGGAATACTATTGTTCCATAAGAAATGATGAGCAGGATACTCTCAGAAAAACCTTGAAAGACTTGCATCAACTGATGCTGAGTGAAGCGAGCAGAACCAGGAGAACATTGTACACAGTACCAGCAACATTGTGTGATGACCAACTTTGATATACTTAGCTCTTCTCAGCAACGCAATGATCTAAGACAATTCCAAAAGACTCATGATGGGGAAAATGTTCTCCATATCTCCGGAAAGAACTATGGAGTCTGAAGGCAGATCAAAGCATACTATTTTCTCTGTTTTTTTTTCTTTCTCGTGGCTTTTCCCTTTTGTTCTGATTCTTCTTTCACAACATGACTAATGTGGAAACATTTTTAATATTGTTGTACACGTATAGCCTGTATCAGATTGCTCGCTGTCTTGGGGAGAAGGGAGGGAAAGAAAGGAGGAGAGAAAATTTGGAACTCAAAAATCTTATAAAAGTGAATGTTGAAAACTAGAAAGAAATAAATGAATAACTTTTTTAAAAATTAAAAAAGAAATAAAAAGAAGAGATTTAAAACCAGATATTAGTTCAAAGATGTAGAGACGAAAGGGATCTTACAGGTCATCGAATCCAATGGTGCCAAACTCAAATAGAAAAAGGAGCCACTAAACCATAATATACAGGGATCCCTGTGGGTTTCGTTGACTTGAGGGGAAAAAAAACCCACACATTAATATTATCTATGTTTTATTCTATTTTTATCTTTTTTGTTAAATGCTTCCCAATGACTAAAATGTACTGCACTCAGGAGTGTAGTGGGTCATGGCCTTGTGTTTGACACTTTTGATCTATTCCATACTCCTCATGGTTCAGATAAGGAAGATGAGGGCCAGAGGGGTAAAGTGGTCTTAAGGTCTCTTCCAACTCAAAAATCTGGGATCCCGGGATCCAGAATAATTTTAAATTCAAAAACCATATATTACATGCCAAGGTGTGCTGCTATGTGCCAGGAGATCAAAGGTGAAAAATGATGCAGTCTCATCCCTTGACTGGGGGACAAGGAGAGTATTACATCACAGAGGAGGTAATTGTTTAGACAAAATACTGTAAGAAAATCTGAAGAGGTAGAGATCACCTCCTACCCCAGGAGTGGTGGGGGAGGGAGGGGAAAGAAGAAGGTGAAGAGTTGATGAAAATGAGAAGAAGCTGCACGGAAGGGGTAGGGGGCATCTATATTATTAAGAAAGGTCTTGAAGAAAGAGTAGTTGGGAAACATCTTAATATAATGCAAAGAGCACTGGTCCTTTCATCAAGAAGACATGGGTTTAAATGCTACCTCTGATGACTTTCTGTGACCTTGGGCATGTCATGTAACCTTTACAGACCTTAGTTTCCACATCTGTAAAATAAAGGGGTTATACTAAATCCCAGGGCAGCTAGATGGCGGCTCAGCGGATAGAGCACTGGGCTTGGAATCAGGATGATTCCATCTTCCTGAGTTCAAATCTGCCCTCAGACACTTAGTTAACTATGTGTGACCCTGGGCAAGTCACTTAACCTTGTTTGCCTCAATTTCCTCATCTGTAAAACGAGCTGGAGAAGGAAATGGCAAACCACTCCAGTATCTTTGCCAAGAAATACCCAAAATGGAGTCACGAAGAGCTGGACATGACTGAAATGACCCAACAACATACTAAGCACCCCTGAGGTCTCTCTTCTTCCAGTTCTAAATCTGTGACCCTTTGAAACACCTCTAAAAAGTTAAGGAAGAAGTATGTTCTAGGCATGGGGTACAGCCTGTACAAACACAAAGCAGTGGGACAGGACCAGACTGAGACTAACGAATCAGCTCGGCCTGGGTACGCAGAATGTGGGAATGAGGAGCAAGGTGAAAGAAGGCTAAAAAGGTGGGTGGAAGACAGACTGTGAAGGACATTAAATGCAAATCTAAGCTATTCTCATTTTATCCTATAGGCAATAGGGAGTTTATAAGGCTTTTGAGTAAGAAAGTGACACAGTAAAACTATATTAGATTTTAAAATAGAAATTGGAATAAAATATAATAAATCAAAATTTCAAAACTAAGAATATACCTCCCCCCCAACATAGCAGCAGGACCTCAAAGAACTCACAGGATTGAATTAACATTTAAAAAAAGAGCCTAGAAAGCTTAGTTGATAGAATCAAGTTCACCACATCACTACTATTTTATTAAAAACAACCACCACTGCTACCACCACAAGGATTACATTCGTGTTGCATGAAGTGTCCCAGATCACTGCCCCTCAGTGCTGGTCTATTTACTCCCTCATTTTATGGTGTACCAGGTTGAAATTTTCTAAGCCTTCTCTCCCCTACTATACTTCCTCCCCACCCCAGACCATCCTTGCGCTTCGTCTTTTCAGCTCCTTCCTCCTTGTCTTCCTCATTAGAATGTAAGCTCCTTGAGGCCAGGGAATGTTTGTCTTTTTGGTTTGTATCTGTATCCCGGCACTTAGTTTAGTGCCTGGCACATAGTAAACACTCAATAAAAGCTTGTCTGTTTGCTTGCTTTCTTCCTTCCTTCCTCGGGAACCACCAAAATGTGAACACATGCTTTGCAAAATTCACAGAATCTATTTCCGTAAGGAAGAGAAGAACCTGTTCCTGGTTGAAGAGATGCCAGCCTAAGCCTCACCCAGAAAGCCTCTTTACTCACCATCTTTAGCACCATCCTGAGCACCATCCTGCTTGCCCTGTTCATCTTCCCTAACGATGAGTTCGTCCCTCTCTGGCTCATCAGCTTCATGATTTTCCTGGCTGACCAGAAGACCACCTGGCCCCTTCTGGATCTGGACAGATCCTCCAAGTTCAGCACTCTCTTTTTCTTTGCCTTTTTTGTTAGAGTTCTGCTCTCTGACCGGCTCTGGAGGCAGAAGCTCACCTCCCTGGTTCTCCCGCTGAGCCTGTTCTTGGCTTGGAGTCAAGATGTCACTGGTCTCCTCTGCAGGAAGAACACAGTTTGCTTGAAAGACAAATGATCAGAAATGCTCAATAGACAAATCCTACCTCCTTCAACCTGGACAGCCTTCCCAGGAGGCTCAGAGTGAAGAACTCTTTACACCATAAAGTTTGTCCTTTCCACAAATGGCCAGAGGTGCATAAAAAGGGAGATAAGTCACACACTTTTTTGGACCTGGGATTTTTCCACTGTTACTTTTGGAGAACTGTTTGGTCTTGTGGTCACCCCACAAGTGAAGCCAGGGATGACCATTTAGCTAGTTTTGTGTTTTGTTCTTTTTTTTCCAGTCCTTTATGACAGAGAAAATATATATGGGAACTACCAGAGAATCCATCAATTCTAGGGAATAGATTGGCCACATTCATTTTTATCTAATGGCCCCGTTACTCTTCTTTAACAACTTAAAAAATGTTGTTGATACCTTTTTTTTTTAATCACTCTCATTTCTGAATGTATCCTTCTCTCATCCCCTACAGAATGAACCATCCTTTGGAACAAACAATTAAAAAAATAAAAAAGGTTGGGATGAGGAGGGGAGAGGAAGTAGCCCGGCAAAACTAACCAATACATGAAGGGAGTCTGAGAGTATACATAATGTTCAACATCCATAGTCTCCTATGTCTGCAAAGAAAGGAGGGAAGTAATTTTCTCAACTCTCCTCTCTATCCACATTTGGTTATTATAATTTCATCATGTTCAATTTCATTTTTTATTCTTTCTACCTACACTGTTGTAGTCATTATGCATACTACACACCTGGTTCTGCTTACTTTACTCTAGATCAATTCATATAAATCTTCTTATGTTTCTAGGAATTCTTCAGATCCATTGTTTTGTCAGAGTACGATACTCTTCTATAATAGCCATGGACCTAATCAATGTGGCCCCATTAATCTCTGAGACCTTAACATTATGGAACTCATCCATCTTCTAACAAGATTTATGCCCAAGCTGATCTTCATTCATATTTGTGACCTAATAAAGACAAAATCTGCTCCTAATCCATCTAAGACAACTGTTCCAAGAATAAGTTGCCCTTTTTCACTGCTGCCTTATGGCAAGAGATGACAAAACAAAATGGAAGCAACCCTGTAAACCATGAAGACGTGAGCCCACACCATAGAACTATGCTCTACTTTCTTTCCACTTGGTTACTGGGGACTTATGTTTGTTTTTAACTGAACAGGGTCAGGAGAGATCTAATTCATTAGATTCAATTTACCTCCTTTTTCTTCTTGTCTCATCATACTTGGGGTCTTCTCAGAAGGAGAGATGGGTCCCTCAGGAACTATATTTCCTTTCTCCTGCTGCACTCCTACCTCCTTCCGTTCTGATTCACGTTGCTTGGGCTCTGGCTGATTGATAGCAGTTTGCTAAAACACCCACAGTCACATAAATTGCATTTATTAATAAGCATTTATTAAACTCCTATTGCATACCAGGTACTATGCCTGAGATGCTTAAGGATGCAAAGACAGAATTAAACAATCCCTACCCTCAAGGAATGTATAATCTATTGGGGAAAACAGCATGTATACACGTAAGCAAAAACAAAAGATATAAAAAGTAAACACAAGGCACTTCTGGTGCGGAGGACCCAGCAGCTAGTTCTCCATCCTCTGAATTTTCAAAAAAAAACTATAGAAAAGATTCATGCTTTTGGGAAGGACTGAATAACATTTAAGGTCACTTTCAACCCTAATTTCTAAGGGTCTATCACATGTCAAATTTAATATAAAACTGTACAGGAACAACAGCAGGAGTCATCAGCAATCAGGAACAACAAAGTCTTTCAGAAACAGAAGAAAGACTAGCCTGAATTCTGATTCAAAGAACCAGATGATATTAACTTGTGAGTCACATAAGATAGGGGGCTTGTAAACCAGCTATCTAAATAGGCATAATTTATATAACAAAAACCCCTTCTCATTTGAAAAATGGTCAACATATTTAAAAAACTATTCACACAACAAAAATTCCAACAGCACAAAAGAACTATGACACTATCTTGGTTATTATAGGATCTGATTTCTGTCAGAACTGACCAATCCATCTGGTCTTTTTGTTCTTGTTTCTAAAGACCAATGTGCCTTCCCAAAGGGTGAAAAATGAGTTAAGGAAGAAATATTTTCTAATCATTCACAAATCACTACTTACCCTGAATAAGTAAATGGTTTCCAAAATGAGATAACATCAAGGTAGAATATGTTTTGGGGCCAGAAACATGAAGAGAATAGCAACTGAATATAGTCGCATAGTATGGTGGAAGGAGCTCTGATTCTAGATTTGGAAGACATGGAGTCAAATATCACCTTTGACTCTCACTACCTAAGGGCAGCTCACTTTACCTCCCTAGGTGGGCCTCAATTTCCCATTCTATAAAATGAAAGAGTTGGATAGATGGCTTCTGAGGTCCCCCCAGCTCTATTTCTATGAACCTATGAAATCACAGTAGAAGGAAAATCTAATTATACTAGAAACTTGGAAACATTCTGCGCTAGAAAAAACTCAGGTCACTCCAGGTTTAGGTTTGATGGCATTTGGATTTGATGGAAGGATTACCCAATGTAAATTATTTTTTAAAGTTTTAGACGATTCTATTTATTGCTAAATACCATCCATCCAAATCCAGGGAGCTCTTTCCACCTCACCATGCTGCAAACATAATAATGCATCTGTCAAGTGACAGAAACTAGAAAAGGGGTGGGTTTCCTTGATCTAGTGCCCAAGGTAGCAAGTTATCCAGAATAGGCCAGAGCTAGTTTGGAATCTGCCAATGATTCTGGAAAGGGCAGGGACAGGGCTACTGTAGTTAACAGGGAAGCAGAGAAATGAAAGAAAAAAGGAAGAAAATGCCAAGAGTAAGTACTGATCAAAATCATGACAGAAGAAGTACTGACTCACCAGATTGTTCAGAATATTTTTTTCACTGAGATTTCTGGATGCTATGGCTTCACTCCCTTTTTTAGTGATTTCTTCTATCCTCTCTTCACACTGTTCCTTCAACTCTTTCATTTGGTTGATGCACTGATTCCTTTAGGGGGGAAAAGGCCAAAAGAAAAGTACAAAAAAAAAAAAAACCACAACCGTGTCATTAAGGAATAATATCAGATGAGCTTATGTACTTCTCTATTACAACTATGAAATCCACCTCAAAAACATACCACTAATCCAAGATGGCATGACAGCAACCTGGGAGGCAGGTTACTTCTCACAGGGGTCACAAAAAAATAAATACAGAGAAGAGAAATGTCTGAAACACACACACAAAACCCAAGTAAAAATGAGCACACACACAAAAAAAGAGAGAAAAGTGCACCAAAACAGTTAAAAATGCTAAAGGACAACTAAATAAGCTAAAAAACGAAAACCAACAAAAATAGAAAAAGAAACTATACAAGATGTGCCAAGATATGTCCTCAAATGGATAAGGAACATACTCTAAGAAGCTGAGCAAGAATTGACACTAATAAAACAATCCTAAGTCCAGTAAGAGGTAAATGAAAATGAAAAAAATTACCAAACAGAATTTCACACAATGCAGAAAAGGCAGAAATAGGGAGGGGCTCAAAAGAAAAAACACACACACTGATAGCCAAATTATCCAAATTATTGGAAAATACATAGACTCAAGTAACAGATTTGAACTGTGATGCAGCAATTTCAGAATACTCATATCCCCGGAATTTTAGAAAAACAAAAGAACTTGAATGTTACATTATAGGAAATCAAGTAAAATGTCACAAAAGTGGCCAAACAACAACCCAGTGAAGTATAAATAAAAATAATAGATAGGATGTAGAAAATGAAGAACCCAAGATTTATCATACCTAGATTCTTCATAGCAACATAACTGCAAAAGGGTACAGTGATTTGGATGGAGTTGCAGGAGCATGAGAAGAAAGACCTCCAGCTCTGTTCTATTGCTTCAATACTGTTAAGCAAAGCACTAGGATAATCTGCATGGCCCTGGCACTGGCTGCTAGGGACAGGATGGAAGTGGAAGGGAATATATGCATCCAAACTCAAATATCTAGTGAGCCTGGGGCAGCTCCAGATGAATAGAGAAGGAAGGAGGAAAGAAGGAAAGAAAGGAGGAAGCAGAGAGAAAGGAAGAAAGAGAAAACTGACTTAACTTGAGAGACTCTTACTATGCTGGCTAGGGGCAGCTATGACCGACTCACAAAAAAGCTGAAGCAGACCTAAGACTACAGACTAGGTAACCAAAGAGTTATAAGAGACTCCTTGGATGGGAAGATCTGCCTCACAGAGATAGTTCTGTGAAGATACAACAGATACCAGAAGCAGCTGAGCAGAGAAACAATATTATCAACTGATGGTAGGAACAGTGAAGGAAGCAACCCAGCTAAGCATCAAGCGGCAGTTGTGTGGTTTATCCTTCAGTCTCAAAGAGAACTATGACATCAAGAAGATGATGCCATGACTTGCAAGTGAAATGGATTTAAGTGAGGGAGGATCTGTGCAAAGTCACCAGCCTCACTTTCTCCTCTGGAGCCATCTGGATAGATATAGGGCCAGATATAGATGAGGACAACTGGAGATGGCCACAAGTAGCAGTTATAAAATCAAAGAGATGTGTCAAAAGAGTAAAACATGGAACACAAGTCATCCAAGGCTAGAGGTATTATCTCTTCTACTAGCAGCATGGGAATCTATGGTAGAATGTGTCCTCGTGTGTATGAAGGAATTTTTCTTTATTATTTATCTTACTATTGTATTGGGTTTTTTTATTTGTTTGTTTTGCTTTTTGGTGAAGCAATCAGGGTTAAGTGACTTGCCCAGGGTCACACAGCTAGTAAGTGTCAAGTGTCTCAGGCCAGATTTGAACTCAGGTCCTCCTGACTCCAAGACCAGAGCTCTATCCACTGTACCATCTAGCTGACCTGACTCTTCTGTTTCATTAAAAATATTTTACTCATTTTACATGTTAAATCTGGTTTGGTCTATGACAGAATACACTGGATGGAGGCTGAAACTACCTTAAACCTAGGTGTAGCTTTTCTGAGTCCAGAACTATATAACAGTAAGGGAAGAAAAAAATGCAAGCTTCAACAAAGTGTAAATCACTTACCAAGAAAAAGTGATCAAGATCACAGTAGATTTCTCAAGGCAAGAGAATCACAAAAATTGAAATAAGAAGTTTCCAAAACTAATAAGCATAAGCCAAGAACCCAGAATTATCTGTCAAAACTCAGTATGCTTTAACGAAGGCAGGAGAATGAGAACGAGAAGGGGGAAAAGGGAAAAGAGACAGAAAACAAAGTCAAAGATTGTAAAACTTCAGATCGACCTAAATAAGAAAAAAAATTTTTTGTTTGTTTATTTGCTTAATTCAGCTTTGTGAAATAATAAGGCTTGTGTAAATTTGTATCTTTTTTCTTGTATGTTTACAAAAATTATTTGTTTTTGTTAATTGTTACTAAATTTATAATTTAAATAAATTTTTCTTTAACACACTTAGGTTTTTCTCTCTTGCCTGCAGACACCTTTGTATAATGATAACTCTTAACGTAGGTGTTAAGTATAGGTGTTTGAAACTATTAAATGATGTTATTAAGTATGTAACTATTTCATAGGATAAAAATTCATTATGTTCTAAAATAAGGCAAACCTAATTACCCAGAACACCGAGTTTTTAGATCAGAGATCTGGTTCTGTCTGAGTTATTGATTAGCTACGTGACCTTGGGAAATAATTTATCTGTGTCTGTTCTCCATGTTGTATTAATACAAAATGCCTTCCTTTCCCAATTTCCTCATCACTCCCCCTGCCAAAACGAAACAAAACAAAACAATGGTATATCTTTCTGCAGTCTAGCTATGCTATAACCAAACAAGCTGACAAGACCACGCTGTCCTGTGACTTTTCAAAAAATGCTTCTGAATTTCCAACAGTAATTGTGCTTGCATTCGATAAATACACTTACAGATCATAGGAGAATTTCCTCTCCAGGTTGCTCTGGTTCTTCTGAAACTGAAGTATGTCCTGTTGGAGCTTGCCATAGTTCTTCTGCAAGTCTTGCAAATGTTCTGTGCCAAGAATCAAGAGCAGCGATGACTAAAAGATCACAGGTCCCAGGGAACAAACACACACAAAAAGGCAAAAGAGAAGGAAAAAAAGCAGTATTCCAACAGCAAGGTACAAATGTGGGAGATGAAGAGGAGGGGGAAATAGTAAGCAAAAGCAAAAGAAGGCAAGTGAGATGATAGTCCCACTTCCTGCCCACCCCGGCCATCTCTATTTGTCACATTTAATCACTGAATTCCTAAGGGTTCTTGCTTTTGGAGGATGGAATCCGGCACCTACTTTTTATTTATTCAGGTCAACTTTCAGAAAGATCTGAGTTGTTTTCTGAATACCTTTGCCTGCCCTTCTACTCCTGCCAAGGCAAAAGCGCACGAGGAAACTTCATAGGCAAAGCAGCCACATAGGATGGAGAAAGTGAGATTGTCCCCAAGAACCTGAATCCCACACTCCCTTCCCACTCCAGGCTGAACTCCTCCTCCATGTACTCCTTAAATGGATTTGAGGCAGATAGGCTAGGTAGGACAGCAGGTAAAACACTGGACTCGGAGTTAAGAAGAGCCAAGTTTGAATCACCCCCTCAGACACTGAGGAGCTATAGGGCCCTGGGCAAGTCATTTAACCACTTTGTTTCCTCATCTGTAAAATGGGGATGATATCAGCACCTACCCTCCCAAAGATAACATATGTAAACCTTTGCAAATCTTGAAAGAGTTTTAGGAATGCCAGTAATTGTTTTTGTTGTTCTCATCTTATTATTATTGTGCCAAATAAGCAACAATCTCCACAAAGAGGGCTACCATCAGTTACTGACCTATACTCCGTTAGTTATTCTCCTGCTTATTTATATATCCAAATATTCTCATATAAACTACTCTTATTTAAATGGTTAAATAAATCAAAGAAATGTATTAAAAAGCAGGTGAGTATTTAAATAAATAAATATTCTCCTTTTACTAATTTAAATTGACCCCGACATAGTGATGTCGTTTTGGTCCTCTTAGAGCACAAAGGACAGCTACCAACCAACTTATTTAAATCCAAGCTTTCCTCTGATTCTGGGATAGCAATCATTCACCCAGCAATCTTATGTAGAAGCTGACATGTTTCCTTTAAAGAAACTGATCACCTCCCGCCCCCTCACCACCCCATTCTCTTGAAGCTTTGCTTGTAACAGAAAAGAAGCCACACTGCTCCATGGGAAAAATAGGAGGGGGCAAGATACCAGCATAAGGAGAATGACATGAGAGGCAGGGGGCTGGAGTTAGAGTCAGAAGGACCTGAATTGTGCCAGTTGGCAAGTCACATGACTCCTCTGGCCTCAGTTTCCCCATCTGTAATGAGGGAGCTGGGCTTTATGACCCTTAAAAGACCCTACAAGCTCTAAATCTATGATCCTATCTAGCTTATGTCTCCATATGCAAGGCACTGTGATGATCTTGGTGAATACAAAGACGGAATAAAGAATGATGTAGTACAGAGTCCTGCACTCCAGACTGAACACAGGGCTATAAAATGTTGTTAGAGCTGGAAGGGATCCTTGAGATCAACTGGTCCAACATCCTCAATTTATAGATGAGAGAATTAAAGCCTAGAGCAATGAACTGACTTGTCCCAGGGCACACAGATAATTAAGGGAAGAGCTGGGACAAAAAACCAGGTCTTCTGGGTCTCCTTCCAACATGCTTTCCACCATACTACTACACAACCTCACAATTTCCCCATGACTTCTCCACTCTCAGCTACCTAAAGTTCTTAGGATTCTTACAAGTGTGACCCAGGCAGATCCCTACAACTCTGTTCTCTGTTTCTTCTTCTACAAAACGGAGACTTTAGACTGCTTGATCTAGAATCAAAGAACCAGGGGTCAAACCCTTATGTTCTATGCTTTCTACCCACATGACCTTCAGCAAATCACTTGATCACCTTCAGCCTCAGTTTTCTCATCTATAAAATTAGGGACTTAAACTACATGACCTCTTGAGATCCCTTTTAGTTCCAGAATCATGATCCCAAAATCTTCTAAGGTCACTTCCAGCTCAAATGAAGAGCACCCAATGGCAAAAATTCCATATAGCAATTATAAGGCCTTTGATGCATTTACTTCCTTATAATTACATCAAGAGCCATGAGAAAAACTAATTACAAATAGCAGAATTTAATTAAAGCAACAAAGACATGGGCCTACAAGAACAAGAGCTCTTATTGAATAAAAACGGGGACAATTTGTGTTCAGGATATTCTACTTAAACGGTGAGTAAAAAACAGAAAGATCCATAATCAGGATTTCGAGCTGAAAGGATATTTAGAAGCCACTATCCAACATCTTTTAACTACATCAATAAGGAAAATAAGTCACAGAGGGCTTAAGTGACTTGTTCAAGGTCACACAGTTAGTAAGTGAAAGGGAGATCATTTGTTTTTTTCTATCATTAATTCATAAAAATAAACACAATACTTACAGTGACCATATTTTCCAAATCTAAAATCAGGTTATCTTGCTGCTATAAATGTACAAGCATTTATATTAGCTCAGACTAGTACAAATAATATTTTATTTTATTGAATAGAAACATTGCAGCCAAATTATCACCACTGGCACACCTCCCTTCATATTATGGGCTGGTCATGTCTCTTCAACTTAGGATACTCTTAATTCTAAATTTTTTGTCAATAAGATTCATAGATTCAGACCTTAAAGGGCCTTAGAGGCCATCTTGTCCAACCCTTCTTTCTACAGATGATAAAACTGAGGCCCAGAGAGTTTTAAGTGATTTGCCAAAGGTCAACAACTAAATAAACAACTAACAATTTGAACCATATATTTTCATCGTGATGCTAACTGATTGGATTCATCTCAGTTTCTACTGACTAAAATATTAGAATTTCCAATGCATCCAGATGATTTCTGGAGACAAAAGAACAAAACTTTTTTTTAAATTTTTAATTGTGAATTTAAATATCAAATAAAATGGGCATTTCCACATAACATAGTAGAACAAAAAAAGTATGTGATACTACAAATCTCTTTGATGGGCACATTGCTTTTCTTTTTAAGTATATATTAAATTCAACTGGGACAGAATATTTTAAATGAGAATGTCCCCCCCCAAAAATCCAAGCCTTATGGCGAAACTCCCAAAAAAATCACAAGAGGAAAGGCTGGTCTTTGATGGACACCCTTCAGGCAAATGTAGAAGAAATAAATACCTTTCAGATTCCTGATGAGTTTCTCACTTTCGGTGATGTTATTTACTAAAAGTGCCTGAAAAGAAGATAAAACCAACATGAAAATTCTCCCCCACAGTAACTTTTTAAGGAAAAGAACACATTGAACAGAAAAGGAGAAGACATTCATCTGTACCAGTAATACCAAAATCATACACAAAGCAGCTGTCACCAGTACTAGGCTCACATTCAAGTAGAGACCTAATAAAATGATGGCAGTATCTGCAGAAAGGGGAAAGGTGGGGAGAGGGGAAAAGGAGAAGGCATTTCAGGAACCACTTTCCACCTGTCATTCTTGTAACCTGAGAAAAGGGTAAATAGATTTTTTGCTCCCTGTCATTCAAGCTCAAAGCACCCACACATAAAACACACACACACCCCCATTCACAAATAAAAGCATAAGTTACATTTGTCTGCTGTAGTATTATATCCTCGGCAGCTGGTATACAGACGAGCCGGGATTACTCAATAACCAAAGAGGGGCAAGAATCCAGCAGTCCAACAGTCCTGAGTTTCAGCCCAACCCTACACTTCTATGGCCCCTGAGCCAAGTGAGGACTGTGTGCTCTGTGCACCCCACTCTATAAATTCCAAACTACAGGAAGAAATAAAGGGAAGAAGAATAGATTAATAATTCCACCAAATGGATCCTCTCAACTGGTCCATGTAAACATTAGAACCTTTACTTCCAGGAAACACACAAATAATACTTATTATTTCAATATTCCAAGAAATACTCATCAGCATTAGGTACTTTCTGTACTAATGGAGATCAAAGTTCCTCCACGTGGAAGGATGGTTTAATAAGTGCAGAAACATCATCACATAGCCAGCAAAGGTCCACAGAGGCAAAGCTATGGTTTTTCTGATAGCAATGTATGGCTGTGAGAGTTGGATTATAAGGTAAGCTGAGCACTGCAGAACTGAGGCTAATTGTGGTGCTAGAGAAAACTTTGGAGGGTTCCTTGGACAGCAAGGAGGTCAAATCAGTCAATACTTACAGAAATTAATTCAGGCTATTCATCAGAAGGTCAAATACTGAAGCTGAAGTTTAGATATTTTGGCCACATGATGAGAAGATGGGGCTCATTGGAAAAGATCTTGATATTGGGGAAGATTGAAGGCAAAAGGAAAAGCGGAGGGCACAGGATGAGATGGGTGGACAGTGTCATGGAAACAATGAACATGAACTTGGACAGACTTTGAGAGAAAGTGGAGGACAGAAGGCCCTGGCATGCTATGGTCCATGGGGTCATGAAGAGTCAGATGTAACTAAATGGCTAAACAACAACAATATTAATTTTCGCATCAGTTACTGCAAATTTCTTTCCCTTCCATGGATAACTTTCCAACTCTCCATCTTTTGCATATGCTTTTCCATGTATATGTTGTCTCCCTCTATAAAATGTAATCTTCCAGAGGGCAGGAATTTATGTCTTTGTATCCTCAACACCTAGCAGAGTGTTCGGCACATAGTAAGCACTTCAAAGACTCAGATTTGGAAGCAGGGTTGTGCTGAATAAGTCAATTGTTAAAACTGCGGCACGAGCATTTACATTTCCTAAATCAGCAAATGCTATAAATCAGGGCTTGATTTGCTGTTTCTCTTGACTTTGCTCATCATTTGATTGTTGTTTATTTTTTGCTTGATGGTCTAGAAACTTAAGAAAGTGATAGAGAAAATATTATTAATGTAGATTAAATTTAAAAATATGTCTGCCATCACACCCCTGTCTAAATGTGATCTTAGAGGTTACCTAGTCCAGCTACCCCATTTTACATATGAGCATACTGAGGCCAAGAAAAATGAAATGACTTGTCAAATGTCATACAATTAGTGAGATTTTGGGGTAAGATTTGAACTCCAGTCTTCCTGATTGCATACCCAGCCCTCTATGTCACCTAGCTACCTTTCTACTAATGATATAAGCTCTTTCAACACTGGGGCTTTTACTTTTGTCTTTGTACCCTTAATACCTAGAACAGAGCCTGGTACCATAGTAGGCCCTTAATAAAACTTTGCTGATTGACCGATTTCCTATCTCCATGTAAGTAATATTGGTAGGGAACCTAAAAATTTAGTTGCCTCATCTGCAGAAGGAATTCAAACCCAGGTTCTTTGACCACAAATCCAGTGGACTCCATTCACTAAACCATGGTACCTACCATCAATTCATAGCTGACTGCTTGGTAGATTGGGAAGAGGACCCAAGCCAACCTGTGATTCTCAGTTCCCTCTTCTGGAAAATGACAATAATAATACAAGCACTACTTACCCTCACAGGGGTACTGCAAGAATCAATTGAGATAATATATACCATTAATTTGTAAATCATAAAATTCTTTTAGATGTATTAATTTTTTTTTAAAGAGATAAATAGGAGGTGGGAGAACAGAAGTGGGTTGGTTTCTACAGAATCCAAGACAATGACAAAAGTTGGTTTTAAGGAAACAGCAGCCCTTCAAACTCCCAGCATTCGTATAAAAGCACAAGGATATTTAAGGGTAAGAATGCAGTGAGGCAAAGGGAAATCAGAAATGAGGAGCAATGAAAAGGCCTTCTCATTTACTGGAGAGACTGACATTAACATTAAATTTATGTCCACAAGCATTTACTAAGCACTTACTGTGGACAATCACTATACAAACCACACACAAAGACAAAAGAATGGGGAAAAAATGCCCCCCCTCAGAAGTTTATAGTGGGGTCAGGTCACTTCTATGCCCTCAATCACCTTCAACCCTTACCCCTACCCCCACTCCATTTAAATGTATTAACTCCAAGAAATCTGTGATCTCATCAATTTGGGTAAAACTTCCAAAAACACAGATTGAAACTCATCCTTACCTGCCCATTCTGTGCAACACTTGTCCATGTCCTCATATAAATTCATTACACGAGGACCACTCAATGTATTAGATGCTTTCTTTAAATTCTTTTGATATAACAAGAACAACAACAAATCACAAAAGTTGTCCATCAAGTTATTTCTAGCTCTTCCTAGGTGGCCCACCCATCTTCTCTTCTGACCAATCAATTGATCAAAACACAGGCATTTATTAAGCACCTACTATGTGCCAGATCCTGGGGATATAAATATGAAAATGAGATATTTCCTGCTCTTAAGGAGCTTTTATCCTTCTGACAAGACACAATATATACACAGATAAATAAACACAAGACATACACAAAAGTGCTTTGGGAGGAGAGGCAGATAGACAGACAGAAAGCATTGAAGGCATGTGGGGCAGCCAGTGTAAAGGCTGCGGAATGTTATGCGCAGGGAACAACAAATAGGCCAGTTTGGTTGGAATATAGTTCATGAGGGAGAATAATATGTAACTGGCCTAGAAAGAGAAGCGGGAGCAATAGATTGAATGGTTTAAAAACCATTTTAAACAGAAGAGTCTACAGTTTATCCTAAAGTCAATGGGAGACACTAAATCTTCATGAGTACAGGAGTGACATGGCCAGATATGTGCTTTAGAAATGTCCATATGAAAATCTATCTTACCCTACAGGAAAATAAGGGGGGAAGGGGACAAGAGAGCAGGGGGTTGATAGTGGGGAGGGCAGATTGGGGGAGGGGATAATCAAAAGCAAACACTTCTGAGGGACAGGGTCAAAAGAGAGAATAGAATAAATGGGGGGTAGGATGGGATGAAGAGAAATATAATTAGTTTTTCACAAAAGAACTACTACGGAAGTGTTTTGCATGACTACACATCTATAACCTGTACCGAGATGCTTGCCTTTTCAATGAGGGTGGGTGGGGAGCAAGGAAGGGAGAAAATTTGTAACCCAAAGTTTTAAAAACACATGTTAAAAATAAAAAAATTCAAAATAAAAAAAAAGAAATATCCATATGAAAAGGACCTATATGTACAAAAATGTTGATAGCCTCTCTTTTCTGGGGGTAAAGAATTAGAAATTGAGGGGATGCCCATCAATTTGGGATGGCTGAACAAGTTGTGCTATGTGATTATGATGGAATACTATTGTACTACAAGAAATGATGAGTAGGCTGCTCTCAGAAGAACATGGAAAGACTTGAATGGGCTGATGCAAAGTGAAATGTACTGTGTACAAAGTAACAGCAATATTATAAGATGATCAGCTGTGAATGACTTAACTATTCCCAGCAACAAAGCAATCCAAGACAATTCTGAAGTACTTATGATGAAAAACGCTATCCATCCCCAGAGAAAGAACCAATAGTATAGGAATACTGATAGAAGCATAGCTTTTTTTTACTTACTTTCTTTTTCTGGAGTTTTCTTTTGTCTATGTTGTCTTTCACAACATGACTATTATGGATATGTTTTGCACAACTACATGTATAACCTGTATCGAACTGATCACCTCAATGAGGGGGATGGGAAGGGAAGGAAGGAGAGACTTTGGAATTCAAAGGTTTAAAAATAAATGTTAAAAATTATTTTTACATGTAACTGGGGAAAAATAAAATACTAAAAAAAAAAAAGTCTATTTGGTAGCTGTGGAGGCTAGATTAAAAAGAGGCAAGAATAAATTCGAACTTAATAGTCAAGGTGAGAATTAGTGAGGGCCTGGACTAAGGTGCTTACAGTATGTGAACAAAGAAGGGAATGAATGTGGGAACTGTTGAGGGGGTAGAAATCCTTAAGATGTTGGCAAGTGATTGGACATGGAATTTGAGTGAGAGTGAATAGTCAAAGACTGACTCCTAAGTTACAAACCTGGGTGACTAGAAGTCTGACTGTGCTCTTGATAGAAACAAGAAAGCTTAAGGCCGATGCTAATGAGTTCTACTGTGGACATATGCAACATACGATGTTCCATCTATGGAACATCCAGGTGGAGCTGTTCAGGAGGCAGCTGGAGATGTAGAACTAGAGATTAGGACTAGTTACAAAGATTTGGCGATCACGTGCATGACAATAAGAATTTAACCCCATGGGAACTGATGAGATCACTAAAAAAGCATGCAGAAAGAACAGAAGAGGGTATATAAAACAGAGACCTGGGATACGTATAAGGGGCAGTCCATGGATGAC